TTTGTGCACATTTCCCAATCACTGCCTTGGGCTCAAGTGGGCATGGCTGGTGTAGTATGTTGTGAGGGTTAATTTTATGTGCCAACTTGATTGGACCAGGATGTGACTGGATATGTGGGTGTGCTGATGAGGGTGTTTTTGGAGGAGATCAACTTTGAACTGGTAGACTGAGTGAAGTGGATTTCCATTGCTGTTGTGGATGGGCCTCATCCGGACAACTGAAGACCTAAATAGAACAAAAGGCTGAGTAAGGGAGAACTCTCTCTCTCTGCCTGACTGCCTGTGAACTAGGTTTGTTTTTTTCCTGCCTTCAGACTTAGCTTTGACTGGAACTTACACCGTGGAAATTACCCTTCCTACTTCTCAGGCCTTCAGACTGGAATTATGTATGCCATTGGCTCTCCTGGGTCTCCAACTTGCACAGATCAGTAGGCTTCTCAACCTCCATACTCATGTGAGCCAATTCCCTATGTATACTAGTCTATCTATCTATTACAGGGTCCTCAAACTATGGCCCACAGGCCACATGCAAATACAAATATTGTATTTGTTCCCGTTTTTGTTTTTGTTTTTTTAATATATTTTATTGATTTTTTTACAGAGAGGAATGGAGAGGGATAGAGAGTTAGAAACATCGATGAGAGAGAAACATCGATCAGCTTCCTCCTGCACACCTCCTACTGGGTATGTGCCCGCAACCAAGGTACATGCCCCTCACTGGAATCGAACCTGGGACCTTTCAGTCTGCAGGCTGACGCTCTATCCACTGAGCCAAACCACCTTGTCTACGCTGCCTCCATCGTGTGACTGCCCTAAAATTTTATCTATCTATCTATCTATCTATCTATCTATCTATCATTTCCATCTCTCTATCTATTGGTTCTGTTTCTCTGAAGAACCATGACTAAGACAGATGTCTTCTTTGTATCTTTTGTGGGGCCTTTCTTATAGTTAGGGACTCAATAAGTATAATTGATTAACAACTGATCAATACTCCGTACAACCTTTAACTTAACCATTATAGTGTAATGGTTAAGAGCAGAGGTTCTGACAGAGTAGCAGAGAGCGGGAGCTGTGTGAGCTAGAGGATTAGAAACCTGCATATCAGTCCCCTTGCACCTGGAGCTGTTGCTGGATACTGAACCCTGCATGTGTGCAGTGAAATTTCATGAAACCCAATTCACTCAAAGTGAAGCACAAACCGAAATGTAAATATAAAACTTTTAGAAAAAATAAGTAGGAGAAAATCTTTAGAATCCAAGACTAAACAAAGACTTGTTAGACTTTACACCAAAAAGCATGATCCATAAAAGGGAGAAACTGATCAATTGGATCTCATAAAACTTAAAAACTTTTTTTCTGTGAAGGACCCTGTAAAAAGATAAAAAGACAAGCTAAAGACTCAGAGAAAATATTTGCAAACCACTTATCTGACAAAGGACCCGTATCTAGAGATAGAAAAATCTCTTAAACTCAACAGTAAAAAAATCAGACGAGCCGAAACCGGTTTGGCTCAGTGGATGGAGCGTCGGCCTACGGACTGAAGGGTCCCAGGTTCGATTCCGGTCAAGGGCATGTGCCTGGGTTGCGGGCACATCCCCAGTGGGAGATGTGCAGGAGGCAGCTGATTGATGTCTCTCTCTCATCGATGTTTCTAACTCTCTATCTCTCTCCCTTCCTCTCTGTAAAAAATCAA